GTAGCGCAAGTGGAGCCGATCAGCCCAGTGAGGCCGTGAGTGGAGCTCCCTGAGGTGCAAGATCCTCGCGAGGGGTAAGCGGAAACGGGCGCGGCACCACCATACGAGCTGCCCACTGGAACGAACCCCCAATGGTGGCACGAAATGTGGTAAGGCTGTGCCGAAACCGGCATGCCGAGAGCAGATGCATGGAACGGAGGATGAGGAGCGCGGGCGGGGAGGTATGAGGTGAGATGCGCGGCGCTGCGTGTGCAAAAAGGGAACCCAATTCCACAGGAGGACTTGCGAAACTACTGTTAACGGACGCAGCAGGGCAATTCCGATGACCACGATCGTGAGGTCATACGAGGTGCAGACCACAGATGCTCGCTTGGGGCCGGGGGGAGGAGACCACACAAGCTTACAATAATCCACATGTATCCCTCAAGTTCAGGCCGAACGCCTCGTACTTTCCGAAGAGTCGAGTGTGGCTCGGAATAACCTATCACACGACATCGATCCGCTCCGAGCTCGACCACTAAGTGCCACTAAGTCCGTAGCACTGCCGCCTAAAATCAACCACTCTGGGGTCTTCTGTTGACGTATTGGTGCGCCGTCTAGTTGATAACTTCCGACTCCAACGATTGAACAATTTCTAGGAAGGGAAATCCGCATCTCGGAAAATCCACGGACCCGTCGACGCCGCCGTTATCTAGGAGAGCATGTTTATCACCCACCCCGTCGGTCCCACATGCGACGCGCTCCAAAAGGTCAATTTAGACCTCCAGGGCGGAATTCCGCAAAAACAGCACCCAGATACCTTTGTACTCGGCGCTGCTGAAGCGAGTTCTGACATTTGCCAGACAAGACAGGAGCTTCAGCTCCAAGTCACGAGCGAATACCATATATTATCCGCCAACGTGTCCCCTGGCGCGTTAAGGCGTGGTATAATGCAAAGTGCTGTCTGGGTAGGGTTTCTGTAATCTTCTAAGGGACCTGACCCCCTCTCACCACGCAGTGGTGTATGAACCGCCATCCCCCCTCCCGAGGCCTCCTGGACGCCCCGGCGCCTCCTTGGGGCTCTCCAAGGGTATCCTCTTAGACGACTCCAAGACGGCCAGTGACGGCTACCAAGGCCGCCAAGATCGCCCAATCTGCCTTCAAGACGGCGGAAGATGGCCTCACGACCTACAAATATTGCCTCAAGGCAGCCCACGAGGCCCCAAGACGGCCCAAGAGGGTTTCAAGAGGACCCCCAGGAGGGCCCGAAGAGACCATAATCTTGGATTAAATGCTTACGTTGTTAATGGTTTTCGCGTTCTCATCTTTTCGTCCCTCCGTCAGCCCAACACGGTCCAAGAGGCCATCAAGATGGCGAGGGGGAATACGCCCTGAACACCCGCAGGCTGCACAAAACGCCCAAACACCGCCCAAGAGAGCCTCAGTATGGGCTCAGGCGGGCGTCGCGGGCTCGAAGGTCCTCGAGGTTTTGAACAGGAGCTGCATTCAGTGCCACCCTGTTCCACTACTCGCAGCCGAAGGCTGGAAGGTCAAAAAACCATGGGTGTAGAATTATCCTGGCGAAGGGCCCGACCAGATGCGAAGCGTGAGCACCGCAAGCGTGAGGCGTGTGTGGTCTGCCGAGCTGTGGCGGGGGGACGCACGTGGAACTGGGGCCTTCGATGGAGCTCCATCTGGGACCACGAGGCGCGCGAGTGGTGCGCCGAAGTGGGCAGGGGGGCCCCACGCGTCTGCGCTCACCGAGGCCGCAGGGTTGAACTCGACAGTCGGCCTTCATTGGACAGGACACGCGAGAAGGCACAAGACCCTTCCCCGAGCCACATCGCCATACGAGTGCAAGAAGGCACGTGTCGCGAGGCACAGGACACAAGGGTACCCTTGAGCTGGCAGGGTCGACCTACTAATCGGGGCCGACTGTGTGGGGCCGCCAAAAAGAAGCTTCTGAAGGGTGCGCCGGAGGGGGCGTGCGGAGGGCAGGGGAGGGAGGGGGGAGGAGGCGAGGCGGGGTGCGGCGCTACGGACTCCAAAGAGGGCCCAACGGCACAGGATGGTTGGGAATTAGGCCGAAGCGCAGAAATCAATGACTTCGGATCCATTTTTCCTGATCCGAGGCCCCTCGCAGATATTCTACCGAATCCATCGTTGAACATGGTTGATTGTTTCTGTTTCCAATGGCAGTCTTTCCACAAGGAATGAGGAGGAGATAGGGCAACAGGTTGAGGTCGAGAAGCTCTCCTTCTCCTCTTTTGTCCGGCCCGCCCCCGTTGAGAAGGAGTCACACACATTCCGACTTGAGTCTACTTCTCTGCATGTTCAACTTCCTTTTCCTCTTCATCTCCCCAGAACCCACACATCGGAGGTTGGGGGGTGTGAGCGGAAGTGGACCCAACCGGTAAGTCGGTGTCGATTTCGGTTCGTGTCGTGCGTGCGGGCGAGGCGAAGATGGGCGAGTTCCTACACTTGTAGAGGCCACATGGAGCCAAAAAGGTCGCCCGCCCCCACCCCCAGGCTGGGCGCGGCACCCAGTGGTTGTCCTGCGGGTTGTCCCGATGGTTGCTCCGATTGTTGTCCCGATGGTTTTCCCGATAGTTGTCCCGACGGTTGTCCCGATGGTTGCCCCGATGGTTGTCCCGATGGTTGTCCTGATGGTTGTCCTGGTGGTTGTCCCGTGGGTTGTCCCGATGGTTGTCCCCATGGTTGTCCCGATGGTTGTCCCGGTGGTTGTCCCAATGGTTGTGCCGACGGTTGCCCCGATGGTTGTCCCGAATGTTGTCCTGATGGTTGTCCCGATGGTTGTCCCGATGGTTGTCCCGATGGTTGTCCCGATGGTTGTCCCGATGGTTGTCCCGGTGGTTGTCCCGGTGGTTGTCCCGATGGTTGTCCCGATGGTTGTCCCGATGGTTGTCCCGGTGGTTGTCCCGGTGGTTGTCCCGATGGTTGTCCCGATGGTTGTCCCAATGGTTGTCCCGATGGTTGTCCCCATGGTTGTCCCCATGGTTGTCCCGATGGTTGTCCCGATGGTTGTCCCGATGGTTGTGCCGACGGTTGTCCCGATGGTTGTCCTGGGGGTTGTCTCGATGGTTGCCCCGATGGTTGTCCCGATGGTTGTCCCCATGGTTGTCCCGATGGTTGTCCCGAATGTTGTCCTGATGGTTGTCCCGATGGTTGTCCCGATGGTTGTACCGATGGTTGACCCGATGTTTGTCCCGGTGGTTGTCCCGATGGTTGTCCCGTGGGTTGTCCCGATGGTGTTGTTCCGATGGTTGCCCCGATGGTTGTCCCAATGGTTTCTCCGATGCGTGTCCCGATGGTTGTCCCGATGGTTGTCCTGGCGGTTGTCCCGATGGTTGTCCCGACGGTTGTCCCGATGATTGTCCTGGTGGTTGTCCCGATGGATGTCCCGACGGTTGTCCCGATGGTTGTCCCGATGCTTGTCCCGATGGTTGTCCCGATGGTTGTCCCGATGGTTGTCCAGATGGTTGTCCCGATGGTTGTCCCGAGGGTTGTCCCGACGGATCCCGACGGTTGTCCCGATGGTTGTCGCCGATGGTTGTCCCGATGGGCTGGGTGTCCCAATGGTTGTCCCGATGGTTGTCCCGATGGTTGTCCCCATGGTTGTCCCGATGGTTGTCCCGATGGTTGTCCCGATGGTTGACCCGATGGTTGTCCCGATAGATCGCCCAAGAGGCCCCCAAGAGGGCCTCATGACGGCCCAAATGGCCTCCAAGACGGCCCCAAGAGGGCCCCAAGAGGCCACCAACACGCCCAAGATGGCCTCCAAGACGCCCAAGATGGCCTCCAAGACGGCCCCGAAGCGCCCCAAGAGGGCCCCCAGACGGCCCAGAAAGGCCCCCAAGACGGCTCCCAACGGCGTCAGACGTGCCAGGAACCCACCAAGATGGCCGAAGTTGGCTCGAAGCTGGCCCAAGACGGCCGAAGAGGCCCTCACGAGGGCCTCCACGAAGGCCATAAGACGCCAAAAACCTTGATTTACATAAGGTTGTTGACGGATTTCGACATTTCCTTCTTTTCGGCCTTCCGACGGCCCAAGAGCCCCCACAGATAGCCGAAAGATCGCCCAAGAGGCCTCCAAGATGCCCCCAGAACGGCCCAAGAGGGCCCCAAGACGCCCCCAAGACGGCACAGGAGGCCTGTAGGACGCCCAAGATGGCCTCCAAGACGGCCCTGGAGCATTCCAAGAGGGCCCCAAGTCGGCCCATAGAGCCCCCCCAAACGGCTTCCGACGGCGTCAGACAGACCAGGAGCCCACAAAGACGGCCGAACATGGCCCTAAGATGGCCCAAGACGGCCCAAGAGGCCTCCAAGAGGGCCTCCAGAAGGCCCGAAAAGGCCCAAATCATTGATTTCCCATGGGTGTTTGAAGAATTGTGGCATTTGTTTTTGTTCTACCTTCCGACGGCCCGAGACGGCCCAAGTGCCCCCCCGACACGGCCCCAAGAGGCCCTCAAGACGGCCCAAGAGGTCTCCAAGACGCTCAAGATGGCCTCCTAGACGGTCCAAGAGCCCTCCAAGACGTCCTCCAAGAAGGCCCGAAAGGGTCAAAATGGCCTCCAGACGGCCAAGATGACCTTCATGATGCCCACGTGTCCCCCGAAGGCTTTCCAAACCGATTCGGGGAACACATGGTCCGATAGCTTGGCAGGTCTGGCCACAACGTTCGGCCACATAGGCGCTTCCAAAAAGGCAGGGGGCGGCGGAGATTCACCGTAGGCGTCTTCGATAATAGACTTAAGTCGGGCCTGTCTCTCTACAGGAGGAATATTTGAAAATAGTCCAGAATAATCAGGGGACGATGCTTTCCGATTATTTTGACTATTTTGTAGTGTTCGCCAAACATCCGCCTGTAGGAGGACATGCCTGACCTAATAATAGACGCACGATGCCAGCCACTCAAATAGCGAGGTCGGGGCGTCGCTTGACGAGGCGCGACCGCGCAACAAACTGTGGCTGCGGAAACCGTGCCGTAATCTCCTGGCGCCTCAGTCGTAGTCCGTCAGCTCTGCGAAGTGGTCACCCCCAAAACACACGTCGACCATGCAGTCGTGATCCGCCATGTGGGTCTGCGACTTCGCCGCGCAGATGTCGCGGGCGTGGTTTGCCTTCAAGGTCGGGCAGTCGTTCAGGTCTGGCCTGTTCGGCGCCACCACGGGCGTCTTGGTCCCGAACAGGAGGAACTGCGGCTCGACGCCGGTGGTGCCGACTCGCGAGCGGATCAGCGGGCGGGTGTCGTCGTTGGGGTTTCCGTTGAAGTTGCCGCAATGGCCGTCCTGCTGCGGCTGCTTCGACATCTCGATCTTCACGTTGAGGTAGTCCCCCTCGCCCGGCTCGTTCCAGCGGTTGATCTGCAGCTCCACGGCGAGCGGGAGGGACACGTGGACCACGTGCATGTCCTTGCCCTGCCTGCCCTGCTGCAGGACCTCGCCGGAGCCGTCGGTGACGACACGGATCGCCGGGTCCGCGCTGCTGAACTGGTCCGGGAAGCCTGTGATGATGGGCTGCCCATTGAAGGAGGCCGTCAGGGCGGAGATGCGCAGCACGTTCTTCTGGCCCGAGCTGCTCTGCAGGAAGGGGCCGCCGATGGCGATCTCTTTGACGACGGAGAGGCCGTTCGTCACCGGAGTGGGCGCGTAGCGGGCCTGGATCCAGACCGTGGAGCTCCTCACCACCCAGTACTCGCCCGCGCTGTAGAAAGACGCGTGCGTCCCGTCGAACGTCTTCACGTGTGGGTCGCCGAACACCCGACACACGCCCCGGGGGCCCTGGGGCGGCGAAGGCGTCGGCGCTGCCGTGACAGGGATTGGCGTCGTGGAGGGGGTCGGCGGCGGCGTCAGTGGCGGAGTCGGCGAGGGAGTTGGCAGGGGTGGGGGCGTCTCTGGGGGCGGCGACGCGGTCGTGAGGGGCGGCAACGTCTGCGTGGTGGTGGACGTCGTCGTCGTGGTGCTGCCGAAGAGGAGGGGGAGCAGGAGCAGGGGCAGCAGCCACATGAGGCACAGCGACCACCAGCAGCTGCAGCCCCTGGCGGGGGCCGGCACGGGGAAGAGGGAGACGTTGCCGGCACCGTGGCCCACGTACCTGGAGGCCACCCAGGTGGGGTCCGAGCAGATAGGGTCGGAGGATCCAGCCGCATCGCCGATGCATCGGCGTCGACCGCATGGAGAACATCGGGTTCTGGATCGCGGATCGAGCCGCATCGCCGATCCATTAGCGGTGCTGCACGGTCCTCCGACCCAACCTGCCCGTGCCCAACTTGGGCGGCCGTGAGTGCCTGTAGGACGTGGTCGCGACGTAATCCCCACATCCCTCCGGCACGACGCCGTACGTCCACCCGCCCACGCCGGTGCCTCGGCAGACGCAAGCGTGGCCCTGAGCGGGGTGACCGCGGGTGCGCGGCTCCGGGGGGCTCCGCGGGGGGGCCCAGTCTGAGCGCGCGGGCCTGTGCTGGGGAGGCCCACGTGAGCCTGCACCAGAATTCTGCGGCAATTCACGGGAGCCTCCCACACCATCTTGGTGGCTCTTGCGAATCGACGCTCATCGACACCCGCCGACGCTAACCGACGCTAAGTCGGCGCTGCCTCGTTGACTGCCAGGCGCTAGTCGACGCTAGTGCGCTCTGCAGATGGAATTGCGAGACGGCACGATGCTCCCATGAGTTGCTACCGAACTGGAGGTCACTCCAGCGAAGGGTCACGTTGCGCGTGGCCCGAGTGCCGCACGCAGAGGCGCCGCAGCTGCCGCAGCCGGCAGTGCTGCAGCTCGCACCGCCGCACCCCGCGCCGCCGCCGTGGGGCCCGTAGCCCGGGTGGAGCCCGCCCCCTGCGAAGCCCGCCATGCCACTCGCGAGGGGGTACGCGGACATTGCGGTGTCCTGCTGTGAGGGCACCTGTACACCACCGCCAAGCCTGGCCAGGGTCATCCTGGGCCCCGGGATGGTGTACGTACCCTCCTAGCCGAGTCCAGGGAGGCATTCTGGGTTCCAGGCTGGTCCTGGCTTCCTGGCTGCGTGTTGTGCAGATGGCCTCAGCGACTGCGGTGTGCCCAGACCTCTGGCATCGTGAGACAAATCGGCTCGGAAGGTCTCTTACGACTTTCCGCCTTCAAAGGCACCCCGGCCCCAGGACAGTTCAAAACGACTCTGGATAAAAAGCTGGTCGCGGGGAATTGGTCGAGACCTGTGGGGATCCACGCCGTCAGTCAAAATCTGATTACGTCGGGGGTCTGGGTATGTCAGGAAATGCCGCGCGAGCTCTAACCTCGCGACAAGCCAGAGAAACTTGAGGCGAAGGGCCAATTGAGCCAAAATGGCTACATATTGGGGGACGCCTGAGATGTCATCATTACCGAATACAAATACTTGGAAGTCCCGAAGCGGTGCGGTGACAGACCGTGCGGTGACCTCGAATCCCTCAAGACCTCACTGCACGGTCCGTCAGCGCATGGTATTGGGACCCTGGAGGCCCCTGTCGCCCGAGACGTCCTCGGAGAACGAGCCGAGTCCCAAAACCGGTGATCCCGAATCCCCACCGACTCAACGCGCGGTGTGGTCACCGCCACGTTTGGGGGCCCCCGAAAATACCTTCCTCTCAGATCCTGCCCCGGAGTGCTTCCTGACTTGGATCCCGAGGCGAATCGCGCCGCGCAGGGCCCAAGAAAGCAACATCAAGGGAATAGCATCGACATCACTGCATATTTCCCCCTTCTCAATCCTCCTCTTCCTGCTCCTCCTCCTCCTCCTCCTCCTCCTCCTCCTCCACTTCCTCCTCCTCCTCCTCCTCCTCCTGCTCCTCCTCCTCCTCCTCCTCCTCCTCCGCATGTCCACCATGTCGGCACACCCTCACGCGTTTCGTGGCTCCATAGGGAGCTCCACCGAAGGCTTTCGCATGACACCACCACACCCCAGCCTGCACACCCCTCACACGTCTCGTGGCCACATAAGGAGCTCTGCCGAAGGCTCCAGTGCGACGGTTCGCATGGCACCACCGCGCCCAATTCGGCACTCCCTCACACGGTTCGTGGCCCCATAGGGAGCTCCACCGTATCGCATGGCACCACCGAACCCAATTCGGCATACCCCTCACACGGTTCGTGGCCCCATAGGGAGCTCCACCGGAGGCTGCAATAAGATGCACTAGGAGGGTTCGCATGGCGTTACCGCGCCCAAGCCGGCACACCCTTCACACGAGCCCGTTTCGTTATTGCTTGGGGCATGTCGGGCGTCATGGCCCCCGCTCCCCCCCCTTCCGGGGGGCTCCGCGGGGGGGCCCAGTCTGAGCGCGCGGGCCTGTGCTGGGGAGGCCCACGTGAGCCTGCACCAGAATTCTGCGGCAATTCACGGGAGCCTCCCACACCATCTTGGTGGCTCTTGCGAATCGACGCTCATCGACACCCGCCGACGCTAACCGACGCTAAGTCGGCGCTGCCTCGTTGACTGCCAGGCGCTAGTCGACGCTAGTGCGCTCTGCAGATGGAATTGCGAGACGGCACGATGCTCCCATGAGTTGCTACCGAACTGGAGGTCACTCCAGCGAAGGGTCACGTTGCGCGTGGCCCGAGTGCCGCACGCAGAGGCGCCGCAGCTGCCGCAGCCGGCAGTGCTGCAGCTCGCACCGCCGCACCCCGCGCCGCCGCCGTGGGGCCCGTAGCCCGGGTGGAGCCCGCCCCCTGCGAAGCCCGCCATGCCACTCGCGAGGGGGTACGCGGACATTGCGGTGTCCTGCTGTGAGGGCACCTGTACACCACCGCCAAGCCTGGCCAGGGTCATCCTGGGCCCCGGGATGGTGTACGTACCCTCCTAGCCGAGTCCAGGGAGGCATTCTGGGTTCCAGGCTGGTCCTGGCTTCCTGGCTGCGTGTTGTGCAGATGGCCTCAGCGACTGCGGTGTGCCCAGACCTCTGGCATCGTGAGACAAATCGGCTCGGAAGGTCTCTTACGACTTTCCGCCTTCAAAGGCACCCCGGCCCCAGGACAGTTCAAAACGACTCTGGATAAAAAGCTGGTCGCGGGGAATTGGTCGAGACCTGTGGGGATCCACGCCGTCAGTCAAAATCTGATTACGTCGGGGGTCTGGGTATGTCAGGAAATGCCGCGCGAGCTCTAACCTCGCGACAAGCCAGAGAAACTTGAGGCGAAGGGCCAATTGAGCCAAAATGGCTACATATTGGGGGACGCCTGAGATGTCATCATTACCGAATACAAATACTTGGAAGTCCCGAAGCGGTGCGGTGACAGACCGTGCGGTGACCTCGAATCCCTCAAGACCTCACTGCACGGTCCGTCAGCGCATGGTATTGGGACCCTGGAGGCCCCTGTCGCCCGAGACGTCCTCGGAGAACGAGCCGAGTCCCAAAACCGGTGATCCCGAATCCCCACCGACTCAACGCGCGGTGTGGTCACCGCCACGTTTGGGGGCCCCCGAAAATACCTTCCTCTCAGATCCTGCCCCGGAGTGCTTCCTGACTTGGATCCCGAGGCGAATCGCGCCGCGCAGGGCCCAAGAAAGCAACATCAAGGGAATAGCATCGACATCACTGCATATTTCCCCCTTCTCAATCCTACTCTTCCTGCTCCTCCTCCTCCTCCTCCTCCTCCTCCACTTCCTCCTCCTCCTCCTCATCCTCCTGCTCCTCCTCCTCCTCCTCCTCCTCCTCCTCCTCCTCCTCCCTCCTCCTCCCCCTCCCTCTCCTTTTCTCCCCCTGCTCCTCCTCCTCCTCCTGCTGCTGCTGCTGCTGCTCCTCCTCCTCCTCATCCTCCTCCTCCTCCGCTAGAGTCCTCCCAGAAGGGGTCCGAGTAGATGGGGTCGGTGGATCACGCCGTATCGATGATACATTGGCGATGCATCTGCGACGTCCGCGATGCATCGGCGACGTCGTCATGGAGAAAATCGGGCCCAACATCGAGCCGCATCGCCGATGCATCGCCGATGCATCGCCGATGCGACGCGATTCTCCGACTCCATCTGCTCCGACCCCTATCTAGGAGGCTTAGACCTCCTCCTCCTCCCCTCCCCCTCCACAATTACTCAATATGAAAATACTCTCCCTCTTCCCCTGATGGCGTCCGGGTGATGGCCGCGCACCCTCCGCGTACTGTTTTTTAACACAGGATGCCCGGGAAATCCCGGGAAACGACTCTCGCTGAGGCGCCGGCGTCATTTTTTCCCAAAATGCTGCTCTCGTTGAGGCGCCGGCCTCATTTCTGCTCCCGAATCGTTCCGAATCGTGCTCCCGCTGCAGCGTGGGCCTCATTTTCGGATCGGTGTTTGGCCTCCGTCGTTCAGGATTGCGTTCTCGCCCCAGCGCGGGCCTTTTTCTCGCGCGCCCATCCGCCCGCCACCACCGCGCCGCACCGCCAC